TCCCCAGATATCTTGATAACAATGGAAATGCGATATTAACGTGGGCTACGTAAAAAGTATGCTTGTTTTAAAGAAAAAAATGTATTTCAAACCAAAAGGATGCAGAAAGTGTAGGTGTTTTTTATTATTATTAGAACTTACTGACAGCCACCAACATTAACACGTCAGCAAAAAATAAAAAGAATTCACATTACTTTAATTGTGCTTTAGCAATCGTCGTTCGTTCCTACTGACTGCTGTCAGGCTACTGAATAGATGCGCCTGAAAACCTGGACTCACCCCCACTCACCCATTTTAAATAGCAGAGCCATCTTATACAGCATTTGCATGCAAATGCTTCATGTTTTTCTACTTTCTTCCCTCCAAAGTTTGCCCCTATAATTGCGAATTTCTTCGTTGTGAGACAAATAAAGGCTGTCTTATCTTATAACTATTTTATACAATTTTAAGCGTTGTCTTTGCATGCATGCTAACTGCATCAACGTGTGAGTTGTTCTTTACCAATTTATCCATGCACATGTTTGAAAAAAATAAGAATAATTTCACCCCTGCTTTTCTGGACTTCCAGCAATGAGATCTGTTAACCTGGATTGCGTTCTGAGGCTCCCCATACTATATGTTGTCTTGTATGACTGTTTTTCAATCCACTAAAAGGTAGTGGCAGTCAATGAAGACTCATTGCTGCAGAAACAAAATCTCTCATCATGAAGCTCACGACCATTCAACTGAATGGACCGGCGAAATGCGAACTGCTTGTAATTTTTACACCACACTGCACTATTTTATCGACTGGTTCAGTTGAAATTACAAATAAGGTCACGTCGTGTCATAAAGCACAATACAGTGATCCCTCACTTATCGCGGTTTTTATTATTGCACTCAAATTTGGAGCAGACATCCTTTTGCCTTTTCTCGCGCGTAATCATTTGTAGAGGGTTTTTTAATGTTAAATTTTGTTTACTTTTACTGTGTTTTATACAGTATGTATTGATTGTTGAAGATACAAAGGAACCACGACTGGCAGCCATACATGGCCATACCACGAAGCTTCACTGATAAGGTGGGTATGTTTTGGATCATGAGCAGTTGCCTTTCTTTCGTCCTTCTCTCTTCTATCCCTCTGGGGCAAGTAATCTTTGACTCACTTGTCCATAATATGTTGTTCCAGAACTATAAAGGCTTTTTTGGGGGGAAATTGTGTTTGCTCTTCCTGTTTTGGAGGCTTTTCCTCTGATGAAGCCTTGTTTTGATTGATGTTTTTGACACATTCTTTTGGATGTCATATTAAGAATGGACAGCAACAGATCCCCAAACGCAAATAGTACACTTAAAATTCATTCTAGACCTTAGACTCATTCACTGCTGGGCATTTTCAGACAGTCCTTTAAACTTCCACACATGGGGGG